AATCATATTTTTCCTATTGAAGAATGCTGAGGTGAGCCTGAATAGGTTTCAATTATGATGATCATGTTGCTCTAGAGGATGGCATTTGACCATGTCGCATTTGACCTTGGACGAACTTCTCGAATGCTTATTCATTTTTCCTAAATTTCTTATTTTCTAGAGGGAAGAATTTCGATGAATTTTTCAATGTTGATAATTATTGAGGGAGTGCACTCAAAGTGATAACTAACATGCTCATCTTTTGAAGCAATATAATTGGCATAATTGACACCTAATGAGGATTGCCTGGGAATGACTCGACCTGGAGAAATACGGCATTGAAAAAATAAATACTTCTCTCAAGTAAATGGATGTTTGGCAAAAATAATTTTTTTTCTCAGTGCAAACATGCTGAGATTTAAGCGGTTAAAAATAATTTATTTCTCTCGAGTGAATAAAGTCTACGTATTAGGAAATTTTTCTCCCAGTGGACTGATCGAAAAGATGGAAGAATTGAGGTGCTGTTAACGAGGCTTCTTAATCTATTGATAAATCAGGGTAATAGTAAAAAAAACTCGTTAACAGCGTTGACAGGTCGTCCTCAAACATTGGAAAAAAGGATAATGGAAATTGATCAAATACCCGTGAAAAGACGGAGAAAAAACTATTAGAAAAATGACTGTGCAGTATAGAATAGTATATTTCTAACTTAGGAACGTAAAATAAAGGAGTCGTGCCCACATGGTAAGCACGTGGGTAAGGGTCCCTAATGTTACCTCCGGTAATTAAAACGGTATTTTTCATCACGACGTAGGCGCAAAGTCAGATCTCCAAAGTCAGAAATGTTACTTTGCGCCCCCCGGAGCGAAAAATGTGTTTAATTCGCCCGCACCAAGAAAATTTAGGTGCTAGCACAAAAAAAATTGTTGTCCATCTTCCATAAAAGAGAGATCGTTGGACAAACATTCTTTGAAGTACAATCATACACAAACACATGCACACATGCATGGACATTACTCGTAAAACGCCACAGAATGGTTCCAGGGATCATGAAACGCGGAGATATCATAAAATTCGCACATTCGATTTTCGGGGTATCCTGCAACTACCGAATCCAGATCCAAATACTGAATGATGGTTGAAAATTGCAGTCGCAGTTCTGAAAATATCAAAGACCGAGTTGGTCTGATTACTGTCATGTCTCCGTCAGTCATCTTACCGTCACTGGCTCGTCACATGATCGGTCAATGACACGTGAGGAAATTTTCTCGCATCTCTGCTCCACTGATGGCATTCTCAACTCAAACATACTGTACAAAGCCATTCAACTAGAATGTAATAAATATAAAATTCGTTATGTCCTTATCTGCCTACTTTTCCCACCATCCCAGACCCCATAAATAACTCCCATCTGCTGAGCAACATAATTCATCCATTTACGTAATTAAAATACCATTCTTGCGTGAGCCCTAAAAAGAAGTCACAAAAAAAATAAATGAATGAGTACACGTGGAGATAGACGATTGGCAAAGAGCCAGTTAATCTTGGCCTTATGAAGCATATCGAAAAATTGACGGGTAGAAGGGATTCAACCGGAAATCCCAGACGCGATTGGTTTACGTTTCGAGTGCGAGCGGTGGTAGTGAAGACTCGGTTATGAGCCACAATGGGGCCATTTGAATGAAAACGACGTCCTGTTACCGACTGAAACCACGTGAATCAGCTACTGAAAACTGATGGGAGTGGGATGCGCGATAAGACTCTGTTGGGTAACAATTTATAATTATTTATTTATTAATGCTATAATCACGTGATAATCCACTGCCTAATCCACTGCGCAAATAAAATCTTTTTCAGGTCCTCGCCTTCGGCTCGGAAGGCAATCTTGCACGTGGGGGACGGTCATCTGTTTTCCAAGGCTCGGGCATGTAATGTACTATTTCGTGTCGAGGGACCTGCAAAACGCCAATTTCGTGGCGCCCAGCGCCACGAAAATGGGGTTTTCCAGGTCCCGTGACACGAAAAATAATATACGCGTCTCGCAACAAAAAGGCATCACTTCAGATTGTGTGTTTGCGGTGCGAGCCGCAGGCGAGATGCCTTTCCGTTGCTCGACACGTAATGTACCATTTTTCCACTTCTTTGTCAACGTCTAGAGGCCACTGTGGATCAGGGTTTGTATATATTGACTGGAATAAATTCTGTCCAAGAAACCGAAGGGACGGTACCACTGGATTGTATGACTCCTTAAGGATTTTCAAGTACTTTGGCTATTTTTTCTCCAGTGAAATGCTTTTCTACTTTTGTAGTCTAACATCAGAGCTTTCATTTGAGCCCCATTTGCCACTAAGCTTCCGGACATTTTACAATTACATTTTATCATTTAAACTTTGCAGATCTGAATTTGAATTTCGATATTGCACCGATAGAAAATATTTTTAAAATTACATAATAATAATCTGATAAAATTTTTAGTCGCCAATTCTCAATTTCTGTCATTTATTCTATTTATTCTAACAAAAGACGAGAATAGAAATCGAATTTATGGGTATTTTTTCATTATTCGAAAAAAATAGATTTTAAAACTTTCCGGACATTGAAAATTAAATTTTTTTAGTTCTTTCCGCCGCTTTTTTGCATTTTTTTTTTATTTCTTCTCGCTGAAATATTGATATCACTCTAATACTTGAAGAAAAAGAGTGATTCGAAGTTCCCGCCGATATAAAAGAAGAGAAAAAACTTTTTCTAGATGATTATCCCTTTCTGATTCTTATTGCATTTCCTTTTCGTAATAATAATTGGAATTCGACTGTAGGAATGAGGCATACCGATATCCTTTTACCATATGAGGGGAAAAATAGATTTTAAAATTTTTCAGGAATGCATGGAGAGATTTTTCTAGTACACGAATGAGATTTTGAATGACTGTTGTTCTGTGTTTGTTCTGATCGCAAAAAAATCAGTTTTGATTGATCTTTAAAAAAATTCCTCTTCATTCAATATTGTAACTTGTGAATTAAGGAAAAAATACATAGAAGAAGAATAAGAATGGATAAAATTAAATTAATCTAATTGTAAAGACGGAAATGGAAAGAACACAAAATAAAATAAAATAGTGTAAATAATATAAATTAATCTATCGCCTCGCTCCCGTTCGCTAGTCTGCAAAAAAATAGGAAAGTTACTTTTGGAGGAAGATTGATGAAATAACTTGAAAATAGCAATTTTTGAAAATTTCCAGCATTTTTTACAAATAATTTATAAATTTAAAACTCTATAAATCAATTTTCCGCCATAAAAATCATTTGTTTGGAATCGTAAACAATTTATTCATATTCACCGATGGCCGTGGCTGTGCGATTAGAGAGATTGGCATGAGGGAGACCCGGGTTCGCAGCCCGTCTGCGTCGCCAAATTTTCTACACTCTCAAGCTCACAATTTCATTGTCGAGAGAGAGTCTCGTAAAAGAGACGACTGTACCTAGGCAGCCGGTAACGGTTGTTGGGGGGTGGAATAAGGGGGAATCGTAAAAACCCGAGAAGATATACGAAACAGAAATAGTATTTTTCCGGCCTGTTGCGATGGGGTTTTTTACTCGTGTGGCGTTGGCCTCCGAGCCGTAGGCGAGGACTGGCCAACCACACGAGTAAAAAAACCCCATCGCAACAGCCCAGGAAAAATATTTTTCTGTAGTGATTTTCAAGTTTTCGAGTTTGGGAAGTATGTGATACCAATTCCCAGACGAGAAATCGTGAGAAGCAGTACAGAAAAAAATTTTTTTTATTCATATTCAGAATTTTCCCAGAAATCGATTTCATGTCTAAAAAAAGAGGTTTCCGAAAGTCTAAACAATTTCAATTATTTATTTATAAACAAAGAATGTTTAAAAAAATAATAATTCTGTGTATGATGTAATTTGACTAACGCTGAATATACATGTTTTTTTTTTTCAAATTTTTCTCCCGCAATTTAATTGACAAATTTGATGATTGAAAATGGTTGAATCTATAGTGTGGTCCGTATCAAACTGTAAAAGACACTTGGATATGCTTAAACAAAATAGATGTTTTAACATTAGCATAATCAAGAAGCAATGTGCTGATTAGGAATGCTCTACATCACTGTTTAGAAATGTTAGTGAACCAACACTCTTCAGAAATTCTCACAGCCATACAATAAAAATTAACAACATATGAAAATTTTCTAGTATGTTATTGCATGTACACACGGTTATTTACAAGTACTCGCCCTAATATACTCCTTGTTTTTACGCAATTTATCAATCCATGAATCCTTCGTCATGTTTTCCCTTTTTTATAACCACGTAAACTTCCAATGTGGTAGTTATTTATAAAATATCCGCAATTCATGTGATTATTTCTATATATTATCTCTAAAACGTTCTAAGCTCATGTACTTGAGCCATGCGTTCACTCCCTGGTACAAGTGCAATAGCCCAAATGCAATAAATTATTATTATTATTATTATTATTATTATTATTAGTCCCCCTAACATTCAGCAGCGAATGGCGATAATCATTTTCACTCGCAAACTGAAATAACATAAATTCAAAATTCAGAATGTTTGTCTTCTGTCTCTTGCATGTTTGCATATCATCATAAGTGTTCGTCCATTTATAAAATATTTACAAACACTTGTATTTAGATGATACAGTGCAAAGCTCACTGGGAATTGGTGCATAAAATTGCAAAGAAAAATATGAAGTAATGAAGCAGTATGTGAATTCAAGAGATCTGAAGCACAACTACAAGGGACATAATGGGCATGTTATTCTGGAACGTGATTTTTTAATTCAAGTGGAAAGGCGAAGGGCCATACTTTTCATTCGGTAAGTATTTCAACAGATTCAGAAAGGGGGATTGGTTCGTTAGAGTGCGGCTCAGCTGTGCTCCACGAGTCACGAGGTGTTCCACGTATAACCTCGAAAGCATAACACGAGGCACTAAAATACTCAACAACTGATTTCCCAGTGATATTTATTGATTCTCGTAATCTCACCTGCATACTATCCGCAGATATTATTTCCCCTGCAAATTTCTGGGCCAATTCGATGCCCAAACGGGATTTACCCGTTCCCGTGGAGCCGAGAATAACGAGAATTGGCACACGCGACATATCAAACGCTCCCGAGTCCACCATTACTGATATAACACCACGGTGCAAGGACTTTCGTAGGAGAGAATGGGTGCTCACGAGGGACTGAATTTTGAATGCTACTGCGCAGCTCACGCATTCACAACTATCTCGGCTTAAAAGTGCCCGTTAGTACGAATATGGCGTCAGTTTGGGGATATTTTACCGCAGTTTCGGCTGTACAATGTGCGCACGAGTTTGCCTCACTCCGAGGTTTGCAGCTGAACTGACAGCGACTACTGCGCATGCGCTAGCTGTCCCTCAGTGCGCACATGCTGCGGTATCTTCAGATGCACGGGCTGATGAGTGCTCCTCCACTCCAATTCATTCCCATTCCATTTAGTTCGATACTCCCGCATTTATCTACTGCACTCGCTAGTAGACCATATGCTTATCTCTAGCGGAGAGTCTGCTTGCGAGGGGTATTTCAGGAACTACTCGGCAATTGGTCATGCGACGGTGATGCATCAAATCTTGGAAAATCCCTTGGGGAATATTGATTTAACTTGAACTGTTGATTCATAGATCGCTAGTTTTTTTTACGGTAATACTCCGAATTGAAGTTATTTTTTGCTAATTCTAGATAATTTCTAATTTTGCTTAGAAGTTATGTAGGATGTCATGAAACGTCAAGATGTGATGTTTTTAGAAAATGTCTGTATGCATGTGTATGTATGAGCGGATTTTGCAGAACTTTTTTATACACTGTTGGAATTTTTTTGAAATTTCATGATAGGGGAGGATGGGGTAAAATGGACACTTTTGACTTTTTAAAAAATATTTATAACTCAGAAACTGATTCATCAATTGCGCTCAGTCTAAGCTCATCACAAAGAGAAATCATTGTTCTTTCTATTGAAAAATAAAATTATTCCATTTTATGAACAATTTAACAAGTCATGAATATTTCAAAAAAAGTCAAAAGTGTCCATTTTACCCCACCCTCCCCTAGTAATTCTCATGAGAGTGACAGTGAATCGAATTTAGTGGAGAAATCGTTATGAAATTTCGAGTTTTAGGTAGAATTCAAGGAAATTCATCAGGTTTCAGTGGAAGTGAGATGGAAATTTCACAACTTGAATTGGAACGTGAATGGTCAGAAACTAAATGAGATGAATTTTCAATTTTTCCCTAAATTTTCCTGATTTTTCAGACTTTTCACGGAATAATTTAACTGAAAAATCAAATATTTTATTGGTTTTCAGATCATTCTAACAGAAAATCAATAGAATATTTGATTTTTCAATGACAATATTTCCTGAAATTTCAGTGGAAATAAAAAACGATAAAAATTTCCAGGATTTGACACAGAAAATTCGGACAAAAATTTTTAACAGTGTAAATCTTGGTCTGTACCAAACTATTGTTAGAAAACCATTAACTAAAGTAAACCTGTCTTAACGTGTCCATTGGGGTTCTGTTCAATTAAATTATTCCTCACTACCGAGTAATGGGCAAGTATCAGGGTTTGGATGGGGAATAAGTACAGGAATAATAAGCCCTCACTGGATTGAATATAAAGTTCATATAATTACCGGATTAATTAAATAAAATGAGATATCGCGAAGTAAAGAAAAACTCAAGAACTCATTATACAAAATAATAATTCAACTTCAATTGGTATCGTTTTCAATCTCTCGATGATACGTGATTTTATTGCCCGTGGCTTACGTTTCAATCGTTCGACGGATCAAACATGACAAAAACTGTCCTTGCCGAAACTATATTCTTTCAATTATCGTGTAATTTCGGGCATTTTCGTGTCCAGCCCGTTTATCTCGTCAGCGCAAACACTATAAAAGATACTTGAATATCTTTAAGATAGAATTGCTACAGATTCATTCCGAAGCTTACTACCAGTGGAATTGGTAGAAATAAAAATTAATAACGTATAAAGTAACGGTCCAATGTTTTCTGTTAGACAGGCGCGGTACCCCACTTGGTTTATAGAAGTTACCCATCAATCAAATATCATGGTTTTTTTTACTAGGGAAATGTTTTATTTATTGGTTCCATAGGTAAAGGATGAATTTTCAACGCCGATAATTAATTCACCCGCTCACTGCAACAGTTCCAAGTGCATTTCATAGAACTGAATATGACGTAACCGTTGTCTATTACTAACTAAAATGTGAGTTGAAGATTTTCTCTGATTCCCAAGAATTCATGTCCCTCCAGAACGACTACAAATGAGCTTAATTCATGGTCCGTGTTGCACATGTTACCTGGAAACTATGTTTATTTACATGAGTCGTGTTGAGTTTCTCTGCCATTTGATTTCACATTTCAGTTTTTTCCCCATATAAATTTATTCCAGCGAATTAACCTATTGCATTGTGATTCACGCCCGCTATATTGAGAATGAGTTTTTTTCAATTTTCTGGTAAAACTGAGAATAAAATTCAGTAGAATGTCCATTGCAATGATTTTTTTTATTTCCAGTTCCCTCAATTCTGAAATAATGCCTGTACATCGACCCAGTAACCGCCCACTTCTCAATTTAGCCATTGTACCACTGTCACTGAATATTTTACATTGTTTCAAGTTAGAATTGCATCGGTGCCAATGATATTCCACCAGTCTGACAATGACTGACATGTGATAATAGTGCTCTGAATTAATTAACGTTCAACTTGGAGTGATGTGCTCCACTGATACTGCCACATACCATTTAGTGTCACACAGTTGAAATTGTGTGAAGCAGTCGAAACATTTCATAGATACACTAATAATGATAGCCGATAAGAGGATTAATGAAGCATGAAATAAGGCCAATTGGTTTTGTGTCATGCAGAAATTTTCCGTTTGAAAGAAATAAATGCAAAAATAGAATTGAAGATAAAACATCGCAGCAAGTGATTTATTGGCCAAATAAGTACTGTAATTATTGCTGGGGAGTGTCGTAATCATGTGTCTGGATTTTTTTCTCTTTCTCTCTCTCTCTCTCCATTCCTCAGAACGTTTATTACAGAAATTACTGTGACGATAACGACAGCTCCACTGTATACATTTGAAGAATAGTGTTAGGACTACAGCTGACGCGTCACATGGCGCCTGTGGCATCCGCATCATTAACTCAACTCACTTACACATAATTTGGTAGTCATTGTACGTATTGAGAAATGCCAGGTTTTCCCCGGGTGATTTTCCAGTACAGAATTTAACATGACTTTTGTGCCAGAAGCCAGCGCCAACTTTAACTCCCCCACTTTTCAAATGCTGACACATTCATCAGCGAGCCAAGGCGCCAGTTGTAGAGGAAAAGGTACGGGAAAAAAATGGAGACAAAAACGATACTTCATGGAGGGAATCCTGACGCTTGCAACTTATGCGGTCATATCTCAGTTTCTTATCCTGCAGGCTCAGTACAATTATGATATCACGTTCTCACACGAGGAATATCGGGTATGGCTTTATCTTGAATGGTGACTCGATAACGCCGCTGACAGAAAAGGGTCTGTCTCGACGTGAAAGTTGGTTTGTTTTTTCAACCTCAAGTCACTCGTTACGGCCGCTCCTTCTACGGGTACACTGGGGTGATGCAGGACCCCGATGTACTCCTGTTCAGAGAGAAAAATAGTTTTGAGTTTCAGAGACGTGCAGTTGATTTCCAGTGATCCATCTGTAATTTTTAGAAAGCTACCTCCAATTTTTAGGGATTCGTGATTGTAAAATTTATCGCTTGCGAAATATTGCACGGAGAGAAAAGTTCTATAAAAATTACCTCGAAAATCGTGACAAATTTTACTATACGAATGGTAATCGTCGAGCAAAATGTAATTTTATCGAAAATTATTGGTTTTTGGTGGATATTTTACGATTTTTCCTCTAAAAAAATTCATTTATGGATGCAAAAATTATCCTCCTGTTTAGTAAAATTTCTCACTCCGACAGGGGATTGTTTGTGTCGTACCCGTCTGAAGGTCATGGGGACGGATGACAATGAATTTTTACCAAACGAGTTCGGTAAAAATCGTTCACCGTTCCAGAAAAATTGTACGAAAAATTGGAGCGATTAGTCACTTTCAGTGGGACAATTTTTGATGGGATGCAGGGTACATTTTACAGTTTCGGTACAAATCACTCTCATGTTTAGTAAATTTTCCCGGCCAACGAAGTAAATTTCACTACTAATCTCGCACTTTTTCTACTATTTAAGGTGAAAAAATACTAAAAATCGAGGTTGCTCCACGATTACTTGACTTATTTGGTAATTTTTCTCCAACTTTTTTCTCAGTGTGGAATGCACTGATTTAACACTAATTTTTAGTGGTGTGCACTATTAGAAATTCTTTGAAGTTTCATGGAAAATATTATAGAAAATCTCGTGAGAGTGATATTGAATCGGATTTAGGGAACAAATGGTTATGAAATTTCAAGTTTTAAGTACAATTGCCGGAAATTCATGAGTTTTCAGTAGGAGTTAGGTGGAAATTTCAAAACTTGTTTGAATTTTCAGTGGAACATGGATATTCAGAAACAAAATGACATGAATTTTCGATTTTTCCCTGAATTTTCCTGATTTTTCTGAGTTGTCACAGAATAATTGAACTGAAAAATCAAGTATTTTATTGATTTCCAGATCATTTGAATAGAAAATCAAAGGAATATTTAATTTTTCAATGACAAAATTTACGGAAATTTCAGGGGAACTTGAACACGATAAAAATTCCGGAATTTGGCACGGAAAATTCATATGAAAATTTTTAATATTGTGGGAGGCTCGCGGAAGTCTCCCTTATTATCCCTTCTAAACAATTTTCCTAGGCCACTTGGATTTTTTTTATGTTTCTCCATGAAAGCTCCATCCAAGCGCGAAATTTCGGGAAAATGACGACTTTTTTTTCTATTTTTAACATATTTTTTCCAAATTTCCATAAGAATTCGGGAAAATGGGAGAATTAAAAATGGAAAATCGGGAGAATTTGTTAAAATGCATGTTTTAGAAAAATTCCTGTGTTTTACCTATTCTCCTAGGCTACCTGGGATTTTGCATAGAGATTTTGAAAGATGCAAAGAATATTTAAAAAAAAATTAATTTCTTGATTTTTTTTCGACCTCCCCTGCCACGCCCTAAATACCTTAAACCAATGTTAAATGATTTCTTTGATATTCTCTACCGAAGTCATTTTCTACGCTATCGAGGCCATTTTCGGCTTGAAAAGTGCGGAATGTTATCAATATACATCACGCAACATCGATAAAATGGGCCCTTCCACTTCTTGTTTCATGGTCATTACTACAACTTCCCACCACTTCATAAAATTAAGAAAGGACGTGGAAGGCGAATCGTAATCGGAGACTTACGTAAAGCTCACGTACTCATTAATATCTCGGTTCTGGAAAAGAATAAAAATCTGACTTTATTCTCAGTGCATGCAAAAAATGTAGTAATTTTATCCCCATTGAGGAAAACTATGTGACTGCCTAGTTTTAAAGTAGTAATCATTTCCTATTTACAGACGACTAGAAATAATAGCAAATGAGTCAAGTGAACCATAGTTACTAATAAATAATTGGAGTGAAGCAAAAAAGTAATGATTTGCAAATCTACCGCCATTACAATGAAACTGAAGATGTTTTGATCACAAATTACCATATACCCCTTGATCATATAAAGAAGTTTCCTCATATTCTTCAATAACTCGCACTGAGGAAATTGCGACTTCAGCAACTTTGATACACGGAGAGAAATATTCAATAAAAATTACGTTCTCTTCCGTACTTCCGGAGCGAAATGTGGTAATTTTTATCTGAATCTCCTGTGAAAATTTTCGATACCGTCACTTAAATTTTCTGATTCGATTCCGTAATCGGTGAGCGAATTGTGAGTGCCGTAATTTTTACTGAACATTTCTCTCCGTATATCTCAATTTACTATCTCTCTCTTTGCTTTCGAATGGAAGAATTGTCGTCGTCAAATTTCAAGTTTTCAATTTTTGGGTTAGAATGACTGGGTTTTGGTCCCAGGAATGCAAAAATTATGTTTTTAGACCACGTCTGTACGCATGTATGTAAGCGATTTCTTTTTTCGTTGTTCTTTTTTTTTGATAACCAATTAATCAAATTTCATGGTCCTTTATGGGATATAGAGCGTGTCCCAAAATTGATCTGACATGTGACGGTAGCTCGGGGGAAGCATTCGGACACGAAAATTAATGAAATTTTTGTCTCCCTCGCTTCATTAAGAAGTTATTCGTTAACAAAGCGAAAATCCACTGCAAATCATCCTCTTTTTGAAAATTTATATCTCCTCTCTCACTTCGGCTGGAGGAATGAAAATGATAGCAATCGATTAGGCATTTAATGCACAATGATTTGAAAAAAAATTGGTCTTCTATCATCATGCCCGGGTGAGAAACCCCGTAATGAATTTGAACGCGACCCAGAATCATTTGGTTCCTAAACGCAATGGGACTCTAAAAATCGGAGTCAACGTAAAAAATTCATATCTCCATTTTTATTCGTTATCAAGGAATGAAATGATTGGAATCGATTGGACAATCATTGCCCTGTCCTTTTTTCTTGATAACTTGTACACAAAGCGTCGGAGACAAAAATTTCATTAGAGTTTTCCTCTACAAATAATCCCCACGAGCTACCCTCATGATATGTCTGATCCGTTTGGGACACCCTGTAGAGTTCAATTATTGCTGTCGTTTGATACCAATTGAAAATCGATCGGTGGTGTAGTTTTTAAAATGCTGACATTTTATAAAATTTGATTCTCCAAAGATTATGCAAAGAATAATTGTTTGAATTGATTCAACTGTGACTTAATATGATTTTTTGATACAATTGCGACGGGAGCATTGATGAGTGTAATGTTGGTGGCCCGAGGTGAAGCTCAGGACTGCCAATCCACGTGCTGAAAAATCCCACCACACATGTGTCTGAAATGTATTTTTTGTCAGCCATATGACGTTCAATGAGTGCTAACCATTGTTATCAGTAGAAGTCGATTTGAATTTTTATAATATAGAGAGATAATTGAAGCCTAATGATGATTGCCTGAAAATGACTCGAATGGAGAAATGCGGTATTCGAAGAAATAAATACTTCTCTCAAGTAAATGGATATGCGGCAAAAAAAATTTTTTTCTTAGTGTGCTTTCTCGACGATATTGTGTTTTATGGAGATTCTGCCGTTTTTTGGAGGATATTCAGAGAAATCTTGAAGTATCTGCCAATCGATTATGTGTATTCACACCGCCGTTCTAGTGACGTCAGCGAACACCGACAATGGAACCTTGGCGAATGGACGAACGCAGGTGACTCCTAGAGACTGAGAGCGCTTTCATCCTTAATTTGGACGTGTTTACAATTTTCCATAATTCTGTCATTCTAGAAGGTGATTGTCAGGTCCGAGATTCTATAAGGAGTTGACACAAACCTCGTTAACTCGTGGTGAACGAACTTTTCCACCGGAAGTGGTTCACCGTGTCTCAATGAGTGAGCACGACCGAACAAAATCACATGTTTGTTTTGTCGATTAAGCTAATTTGTATCGATCGTGGCGTTTCAAGATTCAAGCTCACGAGTTGGATTAGTTTATTTTTAATTTGTCCATGAATACTACTGGTGCGTGGAGGGATATGAGGTCTAGGGAGTGGTTTCTGTCCGACAAACAACACTATTAATAAATTGTACAGCACTTTATTGATATAGTAATATATTTTGAAATAGAAACGTCAAGGAACTGTCTGACCCTTTACTCTCTCTTAAAAAACGTACAATAAAGATAATAAAATGCGCATTTTAGATAAAAAAAAATTTATTCGCTTTTTACTTTTTTTCACTTTTTATGTCCACAACAAATATATATGCCTTTCTACGAGAAACGCCGTCAAGAGACGATTCAATCGAGCACTTCCCAATTTCACTAAGTGTCACAAGTGCGAGAAACTAAGAGCAATCGACCTAGCGTACATCGGAGTAGGATCGATTCTTAAAAGTTTTGTTTCGTAGCTTTCATCGCTACTTATTCATTATTTTCACCAATAGTCGTGTCTCGTCTGGAAACTTGAAAGACTCGACCACTCTACAAAATTCATGTACTAACAACAATATTTTAAGTACAACTAAAAAAAAATTCGGCTTGTCTCTTTTATTTTTGCAATTGGAAATTAATTCCAAAAAAATATCTTCATACTGAAATAATATGAAATTGAAACCAACGATAGCCCTTCACTCCATTTGAAACCTTCAAGACTTTTCCCATTATTTTACACGAGAAGCACTTATTTCTCATTTTTTTGTATACAATTTTAGATTAATTTTATTTTGTAAAAATTATCTATATGTTGGGCATCGAAAAATTTACAGCAGTAAATAGAGGTACGATTGATTACTCCTAGCTGTATCATTTGTTTTTTCTTCATCTTAAACTTCCAGGACAAATACTTTTTTTCCAACCTTCACCCATGCATTTATAATTCTTATTGTTTGTTTTTTTTCTTTATATTTCGCATATTATACTGTGCAATTAGGGCGAAAATTTCGGTCTCCTCAACTGATTTTTTTCCACCCTTGTTTCATCATACCTGCACAATAAAATACAAAACTTTCGTGAAGGTTTGAGGAAAACGATTTGTCGACAATTAGCTATTGATGGATTATTGATCACCAATCACGACGTCATGACTCATTGATGCTTGAATAGAGGTGTACAGGTGAGCACTAAAGTTCGTGAACAGCCTGAACTTGCATTCTATGTATTCTGTTTACGAACTTTAATGCTCGACTGTACACAGGTTACATCATGAGGAAACGGATTTTTAAAAGCATAATGAATTGACTAAACAATATTGATATCTATCCAGTCTTGCTATGTTATCATGGAATTCAATTCGTTGAAATTACATCTGTACATTTTCCTGGTTATCATGGAGCAATAGGTACAGTAAAGTCGGGAGTACGATTGCTCCATCTCACGTGAGTCGTGAAGAAAAATCACCTTCATTTGTATTTAAGAGGGAGGAATAAGTGTAAAAAATAGGCACAATAATCAACGAAATGTTTACTTTTAATTGGCATTTTATTTTCAGAGGCTTTATATGACTGAGCATAAGAGGAACAATCGCCTGTTCCGTTAAAGCAACTAAGTCTCTGGGGTATTTTTCTTTCGTTTTAACCGAAACGTCGAGATATCTTAATGCAAGAACAACAAATCAGCCCAGGTATTGTCAGTTGTCAGTTAAAACGAATGTTACATTTTTTTTTCAACATTTTCTTTCTCCTTTTGCTGTATTTTTTCCGGCTATTTTTCTGTAATACTTTTTTCTTACAAAAATAAGAGATTCTATACACTGTAAAAAAACATGGTGCCAACTCCAGACAAAAGAGGGTGAGGAATTGGATAAAAAACTGCCTTTTGTGGATATTTCAAACCCTCTCTGATATGGACTTCACACGATTCCTTTTACAATGTAGTCTGATGTATCGCAGTTCCATTATTTCGTATTTTCAATTTGCTTTGAATTCCTATGTTGTATTCGATTTTTATGCCAAGCATTGGCTATACCAATTCATTGTATTTATTTTTACATTCATATTGATAATTTTCTTTGCATTATTCTGTTTTTTTTCTTTTTTTTTTAGTTCCGAATCAATTTTTGTATCTATCTATAATCAGGCCCGTTCCTCGGCTCTTACAATGTATAAAAATAAAGGATTAAATAAAATATTGTTTTGCTCTCAATAAAAAACCTAATATTATATGTCAATCATTCATATGCTTGAAAAACCTCGACGTTTTTTCATCTATCACTTATCTTATTCTCTTAAACGTTAAGCATTGTTATCATTACTAATCTAATGCTTAATTAACTCATTAAATCTTTTATAATATATTTACAAAAGGTGGCAAAACTGCACTTTTAATGAAAAAAAGGGTTTTTTTCCCCAGCCTCAACGTAATTTTAACGCGCATCCCACACCCATTTCTCGATCATATTTCGAAATGATTAATTGTTTCCAATAACGTCTCGTTTTCATATATACCAATAAATCAAAACCAAACATGAGTGTAATTATTACAATGAATAAATGAAAAGGAAGGAATAACTTTATGAAAAATTTGATCTCGAACTAGGACACGTGGGTGCACTCGAAATTAATTTCGTTTAGCGATGAAGCAATAATAGGTCGTTTTGAAAAGCAATAATTCCATTCAATTTTCAACGAATCAAAAATATAAGGATAACGTAATGAAAAAATAAAAATAAACAGGTAATTCACTTTAAACGCAGAATAAAACGCCAAACTTGACGAGCAATTTAACACAACCGAATTGTTGATCTAATTCTACAATCTTAAAAAAAACGTTGACATTACACCGACCGTTTAGATTTTACTTTTTCCCCCTTGATTAATTACTTAATTTTTCTTCCACTATTCATTTATTATAACTATCAATTTATATCAATGTCTATGTGGCTAACAGGTACGTTTGCACTCTTCCAGAAGAAAATCATCATTAACGGCGATCAGCAGCACGTGTATGAGACCTTTGGAAAATTTCATGCTAATTGATTTTTAAAAAATTCGAGTGAATCCAAAGACACCCCGTGATAATCGAATGACTATAAAAGAGAAGTTGTAAAGTATTTGAAAGGCAATCTTGATTATTTCGATACATCAATCAGTGAACGATTTTTTTATATCGATGGAAGAAGACATTCATACTGCAGATCGCTGTTTTCGATGACGGTGTTAATTTTTTTCCCCTTTTATTCTCACAAACAATCCGGAATGACGATTATTTGTGTGAAATTTTTTTGTATTGAAAGGATTCATGGACTATTGCCGTGAAAATTAGATGAGAAAAAAAATCAGGGACAAAATAATGAGTACATTTTCCACCGGTAAAAGCGGGAGGGAAGAGAAAAGAGACGTAGCGGCGATCACTCGAACTATCATTCCAATGTTCTCCTATTACAGTTCCCATTCTTGGCACTCTTAATTGAATCAATGAGAAATGAAGATTCTCGAGTAGTGAAATTGATCTAATAACTGCAATGTTATGTGAATAAAACACTTTGAGCAACGCACAAGTTATATTTTCGGAAATGTAAATGCTTCAATTTTGTACAAGCCTTAAAATTCACATAAAAAATGTTTATTACTCAGTACTGGAACGCGGCCTTCGGTACAATAAAGCACGATTCAAATTCTATCCAATACAAAAAGTGTAGAAAACCCGTGAAAAAATGAATTATAAAAAAATGCTTGATGTTTCTTCATCAACCTTCAATTGAATAATTATTAGAATAAGAATGTCAATTCATTGAAATGCTATCGCTGGCTTAGACTTTACTTCGGCATTCAGTTCGTGGAAAGCTCACGATATTTCATAAACTAGTAATGTTAAAAAAAAAAAATTTTTTACCACTGAATGTAAAGCTGTCGACACACTGGCAGAACGAATTTCCGGACACCGATAACAATCCACGAGTGGACGGTGCTTGCCGACGCACTAACAATCTCGCTACGTGAAGCACTCAAATCGCGATTCAGGTTTCCTCGTATTGTTAATTAGTTCTTAACTCGTGTTTATATCCACTGTACGTATATATTCTTCCGATAATAAGATACCAACGACATTATTTCCTGTCTTCTCACGCACATAGAATCAACACTACGGTTATTTGAAAATGAAAAAAAAAAAAAAAGAAGGAGAAAAGATAGAGAAAAAAAAGGTTCGTACTTTTACGTTCATTCATAAACTCAAGCACTTTTACCCTCATCATTTCCTCTCTTTCTGAATAATACACATGCACAATTTTCTATCTCTTAACTTCTCACTAGTCGCCCGTCTTTCCGCTAGACTATTGTACTGCTACCTAGAGTTTCCTGTTTGCCGGTAATGCTATTGTATTCACTGCCTCTTTCTTTCTACCGTTTCGTTTCTTTTTATCCTTGTATTTTTTCTTCCATTCCCCTTCTCAACGGTATGCAGCCTCCCTTTCTCCTAGTTCACCGTTTTTCTCCCCTGTCCCTTCTTTTCTTTTTTCTCCCCTCTCCCCTTTCAAACTGTTACTTTTTGTATTTCCCTTTTGCATTATTTGTCTCCCTTCTTTTCTCACTTGTAAAAGTATGTATAAACGAATACTGTTACATACAACTGTAATGAACACATTTAGTTTCTCCCCCTCCCCCCTCCTATTTTTCTCTCACCCGTATCTCATACTCACTCGCAATACGAACCACTTTCAAACGAATTATTAAGAATTTTGCGAAAATTTCTTTTTCCCACTCGTTAATTAATAGATTGAGATAAGGTAGTGACTTCATCGTTTATGTTTTTACAATATTGAAACTTCTGACTCTTTATTTTTCTCGGTGGTTCGTAGTTATGCGTCGATAACTACACATTAATTATAATTAATAATATTGATAAAGTCGTATAAAGAATTACGAAAGCAAATAAAAATGGTAAGAAACAACTGAAATCATATAACAATAATAAGGTTATCACACTTATCTATTCAATTTTTAGTATTTTACCACTGTAATTTTTCTCATGTTTTGTTTTTTCTCCATATTTTTCCAATATATAATCTATATATATATATATATAACATATATACTTCATACATGCATAAACCTATACACGTTTAAAAAAAAAGAAAACTTCATACGTTCGTTTTGTTAATATGTGTACACGGTTAAAACGTAATTCCTGGCCGCGCAAGCACACGGAAGACCCCAAGATCAGTTGGTGTCTACATACAGAACACCTACGGTTCTACCAAACGAGATATTCAACTCGTTTACACGCATCAGGTTCGATGAACTGACCCAAGTCCAATGGCTTCCGGTTGCCATGCAACGTAAAATTTGAAGTATAATGAAAAAATAATAATAAAAGAAACAAAACGTAAATGAAAAACAAATTAATTTCATAATGATTTTGGAAGAAAAAAAACGCCGAAAGTCGAGGCTGAAGGATTATAAATTTTCCACCATAAATTCGTATTTTCAATTTTTTTAACTTTCATATCAATAACTACATTCAAACTGAAAAGGAGCAATTTATAGCAAATTCGAAGCTCAGTAATATCAACGAAATATATCTCAATAACTTTCTCAACGCAAATCCGAAACAAACTACTTTCCAGGATTGAATTCGAGGGAGTGAAGTGAAAGAATGAACAAATCTGAAGGATAAAGGGCGCATGAAACATATGATACGGCCCGGAGAGATGTGCATTATAAAGATTTCCCGAATAATTCGAACAAATGATAAAATATAAACCTGACGAATGAAATCTTAAAGCTCATCTCTTATTTTACCACCATTTTCATTTTCATTCTCTATCACTATGGAGGCTACGGCTGTATCTCTGTACGCCATACAACTATGAAATTATTCAATAGTTATTCTACCTTAGAAGTATATACGTGTTTGAATGCCTTCAAGAATTTTGAAGTTATTCAAGAAAGAAAGAGCAGCGATCGCACAGCGACTGCTATTCCTCCGAATTATAAACAAACCACAAATTAAATTCAACTGTGGCTCAACCACATGTATATCATACTTATAAAACTCTTTACGAATAAATGAATAATGTGAGTTGTACGATCGTATGAAAGCCAACAGAAACTTGAATGTCCCGAAAGTAAAGAACAAAAATAGATGATTTATTTCAACTATATCTCAGATTAAACTTTGGATGTTTGTTATGAAAACTGCATTTCAAATATCTCTATCGTCCTTCCTTCACACTTCACTCTTCATTTTTTTTTATAACGTAGAAAAAATATATTTACACTTATCGCATCAACTTGGAAATCTGTCCTGTTATTTAATTCATAATCTACAATTGAGTGTTTCTTCTTGAGTTCAGATCCCCGAACGATCGTACCAACTCATTCAGGTCTACTCTCCTACATCCCTTAGTGTACTTAGAGGTATATATATGCAAAAATTGTAATTAAGATATCTAACAAGAATCTGTAAAACAAAATCACGCGTTTTATTACAATTTTCAACTCTACACTATTTCGTCCAAAAGTACAATTCATCATCTCGCAATTGTCATCTGACTCAATCATATTTACACATCGCGAAATAGAGTATGTACAAGGCGCCCCATCTTACCTCGCCAACTGCATAATCCACTTTTGCCCTTCCACAATATTGCAAATCAACTAAAATCCACAACTATGGACTTTGGCATTTCGATAGGCTACAAGCAGACTCTAATGACATTGAATGAAGCAGAGTTTGAAGAGGAAAAATGTAAGTAGAATGGACGAGTGTCAGAGGGCCACCTGCATTACGTACATATCAATGTAAATGCAGGTAAAAAGTAAGAAAGAATCTTACAAACCGGTCCAGCCTAGCTATCGGCCTTTCCAGTGGATTCGTGGCTGCTGGTGTCCCAAGTTATAATCTGACAACCGGTAAATCATGAGGTGAAGTCCCCACCGATGGAAATTAGGCAGCAGAAGATGGAATGACCCGATGAAAAATCGGAGAATTGCATAGGCATGAAATAAATCAAAATAGGGTCTGACGGCCGTGGAATCCACTGGTCGATGGGGACAAGTGTGTGCGCTATCTCATGTGTTACACTCCCTCTCTCGTTCTGTTTCTCTCTTCACTCAGTTGCACCTAGGCTTCTTCGTAAATAATCCGAGCGGGTCGGGCGTCCTTTCTGTGTTGTGTACCATTTTGTTCTCATTTTTTTTCTTGAAAGCAAAAAACCAGATTGACATGCTGTTGTTGTGCGTTCTTCAGCCCTCGTGAGGCGTCGGTTTTGGTTCTCAGCGTTAGACACAGTCAAAGGAAAAAATGTTATTGATGTTATTTAACGTGAATTTATGAGAATTCCAGACTTTCAAGTCAAGATTAAATTGTAGTAGTAATCGGGGATCTCCTCAGCGAGTCAGTGCAAAATACCTTCTCAACACTTGGAGCCTCTTGTACAATTTTTTCTGGCGCATGCGTAGCTCAGATATTCTCGATATACTGTTCTCGTCAATGTCCTTGAGCATAGAACAATATTTGGCTGACTGTCGTAGAATTGTAACTTTAGCTGCCCTCTCTTTGTCCTGAATTTCCGGCACCAAACGCCTTAAATCCTCGTACGCATTTCTCAGATCTATTCTTCTCCGTCTCTCCATATCATTGTGGAGATTTCTCTTCTGAATATCTGGCTCATCGTCCGATGAGCTTCTCGATGATGATGAGGACGATTTCATTGGCGATGACATAGGTGTTGGTGGTCCACTCTTTGGAATCTTTGTTTTTCGCTGGTATGTACGCTGTTTGGGACGCTTGGCCACTGGTTCTGGCTCTTGATCCTCAGGATCATGCTCTTGCTTAATCTTTTGCTTCGGTTGATTGACATCCTCCTCGATCTTTCGCGGTCTACCGCGTGGTCTTCGCTCTGGTTTCTCCTTAAATCCAGTCCGTCGAAACACTTGTTGCTCCGTTGAATTTGGATGCCTCAGTAACACTGTCGGTCTGCATGGCTTCTCAAAGTTCACCACGTCAATCTCCTCTTCTGAAACAAAAATATTTTTCCATGATACTCGTCATGAAAAAACACGAGAGACTCTCAATGTAATAAAAGCAGAAAACAAAATATTCCTTCAAATCTAGATCGACACAAAGGAGACGAAGGAAAAAATTCCGGGATTAAAACAAGTTTTGCAGGAGCAACGTCCGCTAGATTGACTTGACTGACAGCTTCGCTCAAAGAAGGAAGCAAAATCTATAAAATGACAAAAAAACATTCAACGGAAAAAAAAGTGAAGCATGGAAACGCCGGATGACATATCGCGCTTGTTCCGTCAGTCACGACTGGTCGACTGACTCACTAGGTGAAGGACGCCGCGGCAGTTTAAAGCCACGAGGCTTCGTATATACACATGGGAGTGAAAGAGGCCCCCCCTTATCCCCCCTTCACAAGCATCTGAATGCCCGACAAGTCACAAACGAGAAGTCGTGACACTTCTATTGGCTAAATTTTGTGAAATTCCACGCCATATAGATCGTCATTGGCGAGAAATAAGTGCCATTTAGGGGATTTTCAGCGACTGATTTCAACCACTTCCACCAAAATTGAATTCACCCAGTAAGTGCATTAGGTTTTCTGACGCCACACATTCACTGAAATAGAGTATCATATCTGGTACAACGTATTGGCAGCATGAATACCCAATGCAGGAACTGCACGCGACCAAAATTCAATCTCGGTAGAGTTGAATGACACAGAATTAATTTTCGAATCGTTCCAATTCTCGTTTGCCAAACAGTGTTGAATCGTACGTTTTCACGTTAAGGATGCAAGATGATGGTAATTTTTGACATGCGTCAAATCAGTCGTAAATTTCTTTTTTCCGTTTCTTCAACGCCGAAACGGAAACCGAAAATTTAATGAATATTACCGTAGCATGGAATTGCAAAAAAATCAGAAAAGTTTGGTAGAACTTTCCTATTTATTATCATCATAGAATCTATAAAGCTCGATTATAGAGAAATGGTCGTATAAAATTTTTCATTGGATAAATGACTTCGTAAATCTTCTCATTTAAGAACTTTCTAAAACATATGGCGTCTAAAACAGGCCTCTTACTAAAATTTGGAGAGCTCTGGGATCCAACGATCGGTTTAGGGGCCAAATTTCGAAGCACAAAATTGATGAACGATATTTTTCGTAAATGTGAAACTAATTAGAAGGAGAAAAATCGACTGACTCCATCTAGACGTAAAGTGACCGTCACGTTTTTTTTGGTCATTTTTGTGACACGAAATTCTATCACTTTTTTTCTGATCACAAATAGTCAGTAATTGGCCTTCGGTCAGTGACGTCCAATTTGCATGTAACATGACGGTAAATTGACCGGTCAGCGTTGTCCGTTACATCCCTATTTGACGTAATTGTATGAATGAACAATATTCACATAATGAGGCTAGAGTCCCAACCAAAACTGAGAGTACGACATATAAGGCTCTTACTCACTGGCAGTGACGTCCGAGTAGTAGAAGTACTACTTGGCCTTTTTTTTCACCGATTTTACAATGAAAATACTCCATGCCTATATGTACTCGAGTGATAAAGTTATAAACATGTACGTGACCTTGGTAAGTTATTTGGGAAGCACATGGATTGCCGAAGGCGTTTTCTATGTCATATGATATCGTGGGCGTTACACTGCAGGAATATCCTCCTTCTCTGGCATCTGGCGTCATTCCCTTTAAAAACTCTCACTTTATTTATTTTTTTCCATTTCTCCTTCTGCCTCTTTTCTTCTCTCTTTGTAACTTCATTCATTCCCTCGTAACATCGTTTGACTCGAAGAATTCTCTATCTATTGCTCTCATGGGGTGGAGTGAAATGTAAAAATAAATTTTTCGGAGACATTTATCACCATCGCTAATTGTCAGGGATGTGGAAAAAAAGCATCAAAAGCCGGCAGTTACTCAGCTAATGGACACAAGTGAGTAGTTTGTATTAGATTCACTAGAAGCCCTAAAAATAACTTCCACTATTCAACTTGAATGAAAAAGAGGAAATGAGAAACTTTGAAAAAACTACATCATCATTTCCACAAGTCGGCAGTCCACATTAAATTAATTAAATTGCGGTGGAAACGACTAAAGCGCCGAGATTCCTCCATTCCTAGTTCGACCACCTATTGAACCCTTGCGTCTAACAAATAGCCGTGAAATAAGATACGGAAAAAAAAGCACACAGAAAGGGAAAACGAAATTTGAGAATCACGGTGATTGCATCCTTTCGAATCACGACAACTCCATTCATCCCCAATGACAAATCTCAAATGAGAAAGAGCCCCCGCAGTATCGTGGGAGAAGTGATCGAGTCTATTAACTCCCAACGATTGACGATGATGCTACTCCAGAGGGCACGTCCATAGAAATTACACGGTTCAAGGATTCTCGTAAATTTTTACTGACATTTTCAAACGCACGAATAGACCGGCATACAACCCAAGGCGAAAAACAACATTACACGTGGAAAGACTCACACACTGCCAACGTTCTTGAGAGTGTGTCGATGCTATACACGTACTCAAACGTACATGGAAAAAATACGATAGGAAGAATGTGCTTGTTGATGTGTAGCCCACGCAGCGATAGAATAAAGGAGAAAGAGATGTGGAGAAATAGGAATAGGTCTAACCCCACTGACCGGAGGGTTAAACACGAAACTAGATGGTTGACCCAAAGCCGGAAGTGTGAAGACAAA